TCAGGCTGGGTGGTGGCTCATACCTGTAATCCCAGCACTTTAAGGGGCCAAGGTGGGCGGATCACCTGAGATCAGGAATTCAAGACCAGCCTGACCAACATGGAGAAACGGTGTCTCTACCAAAAATACAAAATTTAGTCAGGCATGGTGGAGGCCCCTGTAATCACAGCTACTCGGGAGGCTGAGGCAGGAGAATCACTTGAACCTGGGGGCGAAGGTTGCAGTGAGCTGAGATCGTGCCATTGCACTCCAGCCTGGGCAACAAGAGCGAAACTCTGTGTCAAAAAAAAAAAACAGTAATACCAAACCATATCACTCATCTTTGCAGCCAACTGTGAATCCTGATTCACCCACTTATAGGGATGTGGATGAGTCCTTAAACCATGTTTGTCCTACGTTTCCTCGTTTGTGAAATGTGAATAACATCAGTACTGAACCTCACAGTCTTAAGATTCAGCTTTTACACATAAAGCACTAATAACAGTGACTCTCAAAGTGTGATATCAAGGAAAAATAAATGCAAACTTGAAAAATCACTTATTAAAGAAAAACATATGTATTATTTTTGGATCAGAACAAATTAAAGGGGAGGATACTGATGTCAGTTGCCACAGTTAAAGCACAACCTCATGTTTCCCTGCAAGATTCCTTCAACATAGAGAGCCTAATGGTGCACTATTACTATCTGTTATGAAATACCCAACTCAGGGGAGATGAAACTGTGGTGGCAGAAGAAACAGGATTCATTAAAAGTTATGATTAAATTTTAATTAAAGCATAAAACCTATGGTACATTCTAAATAAAACAGCAGTAAAACATAATGCCAGTTGTTAAACATCCATGTAAATGTGCACATGCTGTTGTGGTTCTTTTGTTTGTTTTTGTTTGAGGCAGAGTCTCACTCTGTCACCCAGGCTGGAGTGCAGTGGCACAATCTCAGCTCACTGCAACCTCCATCTCCCAGGTTCAAGTGACTCTCCTGCCTTAGCCTTCTGAGAAGTTGGGATTACAGGCACCTGCCACTACATCTGCAATTTTTGTATTTTTTGTAGAGATAGGGTTTTGTCATGTTGGCCAGGCTGCTCTCAAACTCCTGGCCTCAAGAGATGTCCTCCCTGGCCTCCCAAAGTGCTGGGAATACAAGTGTGAACCACCACGCCCAGCTCTGGTTCTTTTGATGAACTACCCTCTATGATAACCATTCTTTCTTCAATTTACAAGAATAACTTAATTTTTCATTAATCATTGAGATATAATAGCTATTGCTTTTTAAGAAGGATGATGACCACTTCTCCTACATTACTTCTGCCACTTAACCAGGTCCTACTAATTTGTCACTCTCATAAAAAGCCCAGTGTCAAGGCTGGGCGCAGTGGCTCACGCCTGTAATCCCAGAACTTTGGGAGACTGAGGCAGACAGATCAATCACGAGGTCAGGAGATTGAGCCCATCCTGGCTAACACAGCGAAACCCTGTCTCTACTAAAAATACAGGTGCCCATGGTGGCGAGCGCCTGTAGTCCCAGCTATTTGGGAGGCTGAGGCAGGAGAATCACTTGAATCCGGAAGGCAGAGGTTTCAGTGAGCCAAGATCATGCCACTGCCCTCCAGCCTGGGCAAAAGAGCGAGACTCCCTGTCTTTTTTTTTTTTTTTTTTTTTTTTTTTTTTTTGAGATGGAGTTTTGCTTTTGTTGCCCAGGCTGGAGTGTAGTGGCGTAATTTCAGCCCACCACAACCTCCACCTCTCAGGTTCAAATGATTCTCCTGCCTCAGCCTCCTGAGTAGCTGGGATTACAGGTATGCACCACCGTACCCAGCTAATTTTTTTTGTATTTTTAGTAGACACGGGGTTCCATCATGTTGGTCAGGCTGGTCTTAAACTTATGACGTCGTGATCCGCCTGCCTCAGTCTCCCAAAGTGCTGGGATTACAGGCGTGAGCTACTGCACCTGGTCTGAGACTTCGTCTCAAAAAAAAAAAAAAGAAAAAAAAGCCCAGTGTCTTAATTTCCTGGCATGCCATCTCACGGTCAACTGGTAGAGCAGTAATCCTTTCTGATGAGCCAGTGGCCCTCTGGAGAAGGGCACACTGAACACAATAAGCATGGCTTATAGTTTTGTATTGTTCTTCACCCGTCCCTAATTCATACAATATTAAATTTTTAAATTCAGCATCCTTGTTCTTCAGGGAGCATGGGTAGGAACGAACCACACCTAATGGAGTAGGCCCTTTCATTTTATTGATTCCTTCCCAAAGACCATAACGAAAGGCCTATAAGGGTGGCATTGACAGATTTCAAACTTCAGATAGAAACAAATAGTAGTAATGTAGCCTTTCCAAGAAACTTCACATAAATGAATATTTTATAAACTGAAGATGTGTCATTTCCACATGTCCTTTGCTCCTTTGATACACATCATGTTATAAGAAACCCCGTCTCTGCTAAAAATACAAAATTAGCCGGGCATGGTGGCACATGCCTGTAATTCCAGTTACTTGGGAGGCTGAGACAGGAGTATCGCTTGAACCCGAGAGGCAGAGGTTGTGGTGAACTGAGATTGCACCATTGCACTCCAGCCTGGGCAACAAGAGTGAAACTCTGAAAAAAAAAATGCAAACACACACAACATATTTTGACCTGGAATTATTCTGCAGTTTGTAATACTACCAGTTAATTTTGGAGAATTAGACTTAGTGATTCCTCATATGAATACTATGATTTGGAGACTGTTGTGGGAGTTGGTTTAAAAAACTACCACCTTCATGACATCACTGTTGCTTAAAGGTCTTTTCATGTTTAGCACAGTTTTAATAGATTCTGTATGAATTTTCTCATGACTGGAAAGACAGGGACATTTGATAAAAAGCCTTACCACTTTCGGCCATGCACGGTGCCTCACGTCTGTAATCCCAGCACTTTGGGAGGCTGAGGCAGGCGGATCACCTGAGGTCAGGAGTTCAAGACCAGCCTGGCCAACCTGGTGAAATTCCATCTCTGCTTACAATACAAAAACATTAGCTGGGTGTAATGTTACATGCCTGTAATCCCAATTACTTGTGAGGCTGAGGCAGGAGAATCACTTGAACCTGGGAGGCGGAGGTTGCAGTGAGCCAAGATCACACCATTGCACTCCAGCCTGGGCGACAAGAGCGAAACTCTGTCCCAAAAACAAACAATGAAACAAATAGCTTTACCACTTTCATTGCATTTGTGAGGCTGCTCTCCAGTATAAATCCTGTGATGTGCCAGTTTTGACCACTGGGTAAAAGCCTTAGCATACATATTACGTTTGTGCAATTTATCTAAAAGACGTATACTTTGTTTTTTGTTTGAGATGGAGTCTTGCTCTGCCACCCAGGCTAGAGTGTAGTGATGTGATCTTGGCTCACTGCAACCTCTGCCACCTGGGTTCAAGCAATTCCTGTGCCTCAGCCTTCTGGGTAGCTGGGATTATAAGCACCTGCCACCATGCCCAGCTAATTTTTTTCTTTTTTTTTTTTTTTTTTGAGATGGAGTCTTGCTGTGTTGCCGAGGCTGGAGTGCAGTGGTGCAATCTCGGCTCACTGCAACCTCCGCCTCCCGGCTTCAAGAAATTCTCTGCCTCAGCCTCCTGAGTAGCTAGGAATTACAGATGCCCACCAGCACACCTGGGTAATTTTTGTATTTTTGTAGAGACAGGGTTTTACCATCTTGGCTAGGCTGGTCTTGAATTCCTGACCACTTGTGATCACCTGCCTCGGCGTCCTAAAATCGTTGGATTACAGGCGTGAACCACCACGCCCAGCCTAATTTTTGTATTTTTAGTAGAGACAGGGTTTTGCCATGTTGGCCAGGGTGGTTTCAAACTCCTGACCTCAGGTCATCTGCCCACTTCAACCTCCCAAAGTTCTGGGATTACAGGCGTGAGCACCACACCCAGCAAAAGATGTATACTTTAATATCTAGTGCACTGTGAAGCCTGAATAGAGCCTCTGCCACATACCTGATATTTACATGGTTTCTTTTCAATATGGACTCTCTGATGTCATGTAATACTTGAACTGTGGTAAAGGTTTTCCCATGCTCATTGCATTTGTAAGGTTTCTCCCCAGTATGAATTTTGTTCTCCAACTTCTGGTCCTCAGATAAAATCCTTGTCACATACATTACATTTGTGTGCCTTTTCCCCAAGATATATTAGATACTCATGTCTAATAGAGTAGTGAGCACTGCTTTAAAACATTGCTATATTCATTGCATTTACAAGTATGAATTATTTGGTGAGTCCTGAGTTTAGGGCCATGCCTAAAAGTCTTGCTATATTCAGTGCCTTTGGAAGGTTCTCTCCAGTATGAACTATCTGATGATTATTGAGGTATGAGCCCTGAGTAAAGGCTTTGCCAGACTCAAGACATCCGTAGTCTTTCTCTCCAGTATGAATTCTTTGGTGAATCCTGAGGTCACATCACTGTCTAAAGGCCTTGCCACACTCAGTACATTTGTATGGTTTCTCTCCCGTGTGAATTTTCTCATGAAGCTTAAGATGTGAACACCTGCTGAAAGCCTTACCACATTCATCACATTTGTAATGTCTCTCTCCAGTATGGATTCTCCGATGATTTACAAGGTGTGAATTTTGACTGAAGACCTTGCCACACACATCACATTTGTAAGGCTTTTCTCCAGTATGAATCCTATGATGACTTTCCAGATGACAATTTTGCTGAAGAATTTGCCACATACATCATATTCATATGGTTTCTCTCCAGTATGGATGATCGTGTATGTGTAGTGAGGTGAGAGGCCTTGGTAAAGGTTTTTCCACACTCATCATGCTTCTAAGGTTTCTCTCCAGCATGGATTCCTTGGTGAGTTCTGATATCTGTCCATTATCTAAAAGCCATGCCGCATTCAGTACATTTGTATGGCTTCTCTCCAGTATGAATACTGTCATGTCTAAGGTGGGACTGCTTCACATAAGCCTTTCCATCCTCATTACATTTGTAAGGTTCCTCTCCAGTATGAATTACCTGATGGTTAGTTAGGCTTGAACACACAATAAAGGTTTTACCATACTCATTACGCTTGTAAGGTTTCTCTCCAGTGAGTTCTCTGAGGGTCCACCAGCCTTGAATTTTGAATAAATGCCTTACTACATTCATTACATTTGTGTGGTTTCTCTCCAGAATGAATTCTGAGATGTTTTACAAGTTTTGAACTCTGAAAAAAAGTCTTGCCACACTCATTACATTTATAAGGGCTCTCCAGTATGGATGACCTGAAGATTAGTTAGGCTTTGTCACACTCATTACACTTGTAAGGTTTCTCTCCAGTGTGAATTATCTGATGGTTTTAAAGGTATGAATGTTGACTTCAGACCTTGCCACACTCTAAATTTGTAAGTTTTCTCTCCAGTATGAATTCTGTGATGACTTGCTACTTTTGATTTTTGAATGAAACCTTTGCCACATACATCACATTTATATGGTTTCTGTCCAGTATGGATTCTCTGATGTCTAGTAAGGTTGGACCCCTGATTAAAGGCCTTGCCACACTCATTACATTTGTAAGGTTTTTCTCCAGTATGAATTCTGTGATGACTTGCCAGGTTTGAAATTTGACTGAAAGCTTTGCCACATATATCACATTTATATGGTTTCTGTCCAGTGTGGATTCTCTGATGTGTATCAAGGTGGGACCTCTGATGAAAGGCCTTGCCACAATCATTACACTTGTAAGGTTTTTCCCTACTCTGTGCTCTCTGTTCTTGTGTGAGTAATGAAGGATGCATAAAATCATTCCTACATATATTAGAAATGCTGGTGTCGACACGAGGAAGATTTATTTGAAGCAGTGAAACTGAGGAGCCGTGGATAACAGACTTCTCAATTTCATTACATTCATACATTTTCCTTTCAGTTTGAAATCCCTGCAGTTCAGCCAGATGCGACTTTAAGCTCAGTTCACGCTGATTTTCAACTGGCTTATTTCCAGCTATCCTTCTATCACATTGATCTCTTCTTCTGGTGATGTTTTTTATTTTAATCACAGGTGTTTCTTTGTAATTTCTTTCATCACTGTGACACTGACACTCAAAGTCATGAACATTTTTCTGCATTTCCCTGAAGTAAAAATCTTTGATGTCATGGATTTCACGTCTTTCCAGCATCACTGCTTGGAAGGCTTTTCCTGTGCTATTGTTCTCTTTTGGTGGTAACTCCTTGATCATATGTGTAGGAGAGACACCTACAAGATATTTGAAAAACAGGTTTTGTATTAACTACAGTTGGCAAATCAGTAGTTCATACTGAAAAAGATATTATACCAAAAATAGTATTTATACTGAACAATTATAAAGTTTTCAACCATGATCTTCAAATTTGTAGGAATAGGATTTTTAATAAAGAAAAAATGATTACGGCCCGCAGTGGCTCACGCCTATAATCCCAGCACTTTGGGAGGCCAAGGCAGCTGGATTACAAGGTCAAGAGACCAAGACCGGCCTGTTCAATGTGGTGAAATCCTGTCTCTACTAAAAATACAAAAATTAGCTGGGCATGGTGGCACGTGCCTGTAGTCCCAGCTGCTTGGGAGGCTGAGGCAGGAGAACCACTTGAACCCAGGAAGCAGAGATTGCAGTGAGCCGAGATCATGCCACTATACCCTAGCCTGGCGAAAGAGCAAGACTCCATCCCCCCTCAAAAAAGGCTGGGTGCAGTGGCTCACGCCTATAATCCCAGCACTTTGGGAGGCCGAGGCAGGCGGATCACTGAGGTCAGGAGTACAAGACCAGCCTGACCAACATGGAGACAGCCTGTGTCTACTAAAAATAGAAAACTTAGCCAGGTGTGGTGGCATGTGCCTGTAATCCCAGCTACTCAGGAGGCTGTAATTCAAATTAATTTTAGGGAAGTCTAGTTTCAAATAACCTATACCCCAAACATCTGTGTTGTGCAAACTTATGTTAATTCTAAAAATGGGGGCAGGCTGTACAAGATGCATGGCACCAGCATCTGCTTTGCTGAGGGCCTCAGGCTGCTTCCATTTATGGCAGAAGGCAAAGGGAAGATGGCATGTGCAGAGGTCACATGGCAAGAGAGGAACCAAGAGGGAAGGAGGTGCCAGGCTCTTTTCAATGGCCAGTTCTCACTGGAACTTATAGAGTGAGAACTCATTCATTACCTCAAGTAAAGCACCAAGCCTTTCATGAAGGTCCCACTCTCCTGACCCAAACACCTCCCATTAGGACCCACATCCAACACTGGGGATCAAATTTCAACATGAGATTTGGAACGGACAAACATCCCCTCCAAACTATAGCAGTAACCTTAATAAGGAAAATAAGCACGGTTGGGTGCAGTAGCTCATGCCTGTCTGTAATCCCGGTACTTTAGGAGGCCAAGGTGGACGGATCACAAGGTTAGGAGTTGAAGACCAGCCTGACCAACATGGTGAAACCCCTTTCTACTAAAAATACAAAAATTAGCCGGGTGTGGTGATGGGTGTCTGTATTCCCCGCTATTCAGGAGGCTGAGGCAGGAGAATTGCTTGAACCTGGGAGGTGGAGGTTGCAGTGAGCCAAGATCATGCCACTGCACTCTAGCATGGTCGACAGAGTGAGACTCCGTCTCAAAAAAAAAAAAAAGAGGAGTAAACGACCTACAGTGGGTAATGGTTTATACTGAAGGGAGCTGTTAGTGGATGCAAAGTACAGAAACATTTCCTGGCAGTGCACAGAGACCCATGGACTAGGTTTTTAGCAACATAGCACATAACTGGCAGAGAATAACAGGACAGCACCAAGAAGTGGATTGACAGAAACCAAGTGAACATTACAGAAAATTCAGATGTAAAGAAAGATGGGGAACAAAATAGTCATCATGTGTTAACTGAAGAATGCAACTTGCAGAACTTCAGAAATTTGTAGAAAATACGGGTGATATATGTAACAGTGGAGAAGTCCTTGAAGTATAAGAAATAAGCCAGGCTTCCTTTAAAATACTGTGAGATATTTAAATGTTAATTTAGTACACCAAGATGGATGTGATAAACCTAGATAAGAAACATAACGTTTACAAAATAACAGTTGGAGGATATAAAAATTCAGTGAGATTTAACCCAAACCCACCAAGTTAGATTAGACAATTAAAAATATACTATAATCGCACCACTGTACTCAAGCCTGGTGACAGAGTGAGACTCTGTCTCAAATATATACGTACACACACACACACACACACACACACACACACACACACTCTCTCTCTCTCTCTCTTTCTCTCTATAGAAAAAGCAATATTATTTTCTATAACAAATTGTGTCAAGTCAATTTAATGGTATTTCTGAAATGACATTGAATTAATTTTAAAAAGTATATTCTCAACAAATAAATTTTAAAGGAAAAAGAAAAAGAAGTGTATTCTTAAGATATGGAAAATCCGCCAATTTAGAGGCTGTAACAAATTTTAGTGGCACTTTAATAACAGGCATTAAGTCAGGTGAAACAAAAATAAAAAACATTTTAGACAATATTTTCAATATATTCTCAAGTTTATGTAGTTTTTAGGGAAACTGCTACTGACTCAGTCCTCAAATTAAAGAAAGAAAGCTTGTAAAATATGTTTAAAAATGCATTTCCCAATACAAAGCTCTGTATATTGTAAACATAAAACAACTAAAGTCATAAAAAATATGGACTGCTTATTAAAGAAAACAAGTTCATTTACAATATACAGAGATGTACTAAATGAAAGTAGCACTGGCTTAAACAGGACAAGTTCCAGTAGACATAAAGAAAGTACACATTGGCCAGGTGCAGTGGCTCACGCCTGTAATCCCCAATACTTTGGGAGGCCGGGGTGGGCAGATTACCTGAAATCAGGAGCTCAAAACCAGCCTGGCCAACATGGAGAACCCCCGTTTCTACTAAAAATACAAAATTAGCCGGGTGTGGTGGCGCATGCCTGTAATCTCAGCTACTCAGGGGACTGAGGCAGGAGAATCACTTGAACCCAGGAGGCAGAGGTTGCGGTGAGCTGAGATCACACCATTGCACTCCAGCCTGGGCAACTAGAGTGAAACTCTGTCAACAGCAACAAAAAAGAAGAAGGCAGGCATTGTTCAATTTCATCAGCTCCCTTGAGATGCTTCACAATTGCATTTTTGAAGAAGAATGAATGGCACACAACACAGGATGGGCAATGTGTCATGAACAAGAGTTTAGTCAACAGCCTCATGGAATGAGGTGGTGAATTTGTACAACGTTCTCCCTAGGATACATTCCTACCACATTTATTGATGGCTCAAAATAGATGACCATTGGTATATTTGGTCAACACTGTCACAATATCCTTGAGAACCATGTTTTGGAAAGTCCTCAATAACTAGTGGCAAACACTTATCATTTGGCTCTTGTGACACTTCCACTCTCAGTGTCATAGGTCATCCTGACAACTTGACTCAATGCCTTCATGGGGCACTTTTGCATGTAGCAGGATAACAGAGTAATGTATTAAAGTGTTGTCTTTCAAGAATTTTCCATCATCAAGTAAACCTGCTCCGTGGGAGAGTCCACCAGAAGCTCTCTATCACATAAAGGTTGGTTGCCATAGAAGAAAAAAACTAGATGAAACTTCAGACCCCCGGGGTGTGTATTTCAAAAGCAAGTTTCAAAGGCAAAATCACTGAGATGTACGAGAACACAAAATCAGAAAGAGCCCATGTTTTTCTACATTCACACAATAGTAAAAGCCGTGGAAGAGAGACATAAATACAACATATGGGGGTCAGATTCTGTGGGATTTAAATACATGACTGTGCTCTGCCCACAGAGGTTAAGCTGAGAGCCTGAAAGACTAAGATACGCTCCCTGTGTAGAACTGAGAATCAGAGAGAGAGGCTGGGCATGGCCTCAAGTGGGTCCCTGACCCCATGTACTCACACCTGTAATTCCAGCATTTTGGGAGACCAAGGCTGGTGGATCACCTGAGGTCAGGAGTTCTAGACCAGTCTGGCCAACACAGTGGAACCCGATCTCCATTAAAAATACAAAAATTGGGGATTTGCTGACAAGATGGCCGAATAGGAACAGCTCCAGTCTGCAGCTCCCAGCAAGATTAATGCAGAAGGTGGGTGATTTCTGCATTTCCAACTGAAGTACCCAGTTCATCTCATTGGGACTGGTTGGACAGTGGGTGCAGCCCATGGAGTGTTGAACCAAAGCAGGGTGGGGTGTCACCTCACCCGGATGGTACAAGGGGTTGGAGGATTTCCCTCCCATAGCCAAGGGAAGCCATAAGGGACTGTGCCGTGAGGAACGGTGCACTCCAGCTTAGATACTGCGCTTTTCCCATGGCCTTCATAACCAGCAGACCAGGAGATTCCCTCCGATGCCTATGCCACCAGGGCCCTGGGTTTCAAGCACAAAACTGGGCAGCTGTTTGGGCAGACATCAAACTAACAGCAGGATTTTATTTTTCATACCCCAGTGGCACCTGGAATGCCAGTGAGAGAACCGTTCTGTCGGCTCTGGAAAGGAGGTTGAAGACAGGGAGCCCAGTGCTCTGGCTCAGTAGGTCTCACCCCCATGGAGACCAGTAAGCTAAAATCCACTGGCTTGAAATTCTCGCTGCAAGCACAGCAGTCTGAGGTTGACCTGGGATGCTTGAGCTTGGTTGGGGGAAGGGCGTCAGCAATTGCTGAGGCTTGAGTAAGTGATTTTACCCTCACAGGATAAACAAAGCCGCCGGGAAGTTTGAAGTGGGCAGAGCCCGCCACAGCTCAGTAAGGCGACTGCAGCCAGACTGCCTCTCTAGATTCCTTTTCCCTGGGCAGGGCATCTCTGAAAAAAAGGCAGCAGCCTCAGTCAGGGCCTTATAGATAAAACCCCCATCTCCCTGGGACAGAGCACCTGAAGGAAGGGGCAGCTGTGGGCACAGCATCAGCAGATTTAAACATCCCTGCCCAAGAGCTCTGAAGAGAGCAGCAGATCTCCCAGCACAGCATGGAAGCTCTGATAAGGGACAGACTGCCTCCTCAAGTGGGTCCCTGACCCCTGTGTATCCTGACTGGGAGGCACCTCCCAGCAGGGGTCAACAGACACCTCATACAGGAAAGCTCTCACTGGCATCTCTTGGGTGCCCCTCTGGGATGAAGCTTCCAGAGGAAAGAACAGGCAGCAATCTCTGCTGTTCTGTAGCCTCTGCTGGTGATACCCAGGCAAACAGGGTCTGGAGTGGACCTCCAGC